ACACAAAATGTGGATTAGTAAAAATAAATGAATAATATATATTAGGCCTATAAAAAAACACAATCTTTTAAAGCCTTCTTTCTCCTGGCAAAAAAAAAAAACTTAATTTAAAAAAAAATTACTTTTGACTGATGACTCAAATAATGAAAACAAGCAAATGCGGATTAATTTGAAAAAATAAACCCCTCTTCTCTAAAATACAAATGACACATTATAACCACTGAAGTGTCTGAAACTTTGTGTAAAGTCGACTCCCCCACGAACTAAATCAATCACAGCTCTGAAGAAGCTGCTCTGATTGATTTTCCACATCCATCATTCTGTCAGATCACTCAGCACCAGCATGTCCTCCACAGGCAGAATTAAAATAACTTTTACAAAGTCACTTCAGTATTGAGATTAAAATCCACATTATTGCTTAATGGCTTCAAGAAAGAAAGTACTGCAGACAAAGAGCTTTTAGATGCACAGCAGAAACATCACCCAGACATATTCTCTCCTGTGTAAAATAATGCACATTGAGGCTTTTCAAAGTTAAATTATAGTACTTTTTTATTTTAGTCACGCTTGAAGCTATCGCAAATAAATACAGTGATCCCCATATGGATCCAGTCCCTGCATGAAGTACAATATAAAACTCATTGGGCCTAAATCTCCTTTATAAATGTAGGCTATAACTCTGTGGTTCTACTGGTATCCTAAGGCTGAGGCTGTTGTCAGTCTCTGTCCATACAAGGCGTAGGGGGAGTAATATGCCCCGGTGGCTGCAGGCACCGGCACCGGGGCACCGGGAGCGGGCAGGGGGCTCTTTGAATAAGGGTGATAGCGGCTGCTCAGTCCGAGGGGGTGATGGGGGCCCCTGAGGGCCAGCGTGCCGGGGCTGCCCGGGCTGCCGTTAGGAGGCATGTGCATGTGACAGGCCATGGCAGCGGCGGCAGCGGCGTTGGCGAGAGAAGACGAGCCCGGGTACCCAGAGATCAACTTCTCCGTGCCAGCAAAGGCCGTGTGAGTCCGCAAGTGGCTGAGCAGCTCCTCGGAGGAGGAGAAGCGCTTGTCGCAAGGTCCGTTAGCAGACACCCAGTTACACACGTGCGGGAGGGGGTCATTGGGCAGCATGAACCCGTAAGGGTACAAGGGATGTCCGCTGAAGGATGGGGCCGAGGAGTGCACGCCGTGCAACGGGTGCGTCGGGTACATGATCTGGTATCCAGACTTGAGCGCGTTGGCAGCGGCAGCAGCTGCAGCAGAGTCATGTGCGCAGTTTGCGCTGGACGCACCGGACAAATGGCTTGTGCAGTGGTAGCTCAGGCAGTAGGGGTCTCTACACAGACTTGCGGACATGAGGGACGGCGGAGAGGCTCCAGCTAAGGGGCTCGATCCTGCTTTACTGCAGGCCGCAGCGAACTGTGCGCTCAACAGCTGGCTGCTGGATTTGGTGGGGTCAAGGGTCATTCCATGAGGGAGGAACGGCTGTGCGTAACCCGCATACGCACCCGCTAAACTTCCAGGGTAAGAAATACCAGCAGGTGGCATAGGGAAAACTGTGTGACCGGGCTTATAGGGGGAAACAGGGGCCACCAGTCCGGAGGCGAGGACGGAGGATGACGATGAGGTTACAGATGTTGAGTCTGATGTAAGAGTCTTGGATCCAGATGTGCTCTCCTGGTGATGGCTGCCATCAGAGGTAATTCCACTTATCCTATGGCTACCATTACTCTCAGTCGTGCTGCTTTTATTGCTATCAGACTCCTTCTTCTCCTCCTTGTCCCCCGCTTTGCCGTCGAGCGGCAGTGGAGAGACTGAGGTGCAGGAGCTGGGGCTGCCTGTCCTGGGGGTGAACGGCTGGCAGGTGGCGCTAGGTACTCGGAAACCGTTTTTATCTCCACTGAGGCTGCTGCTCGAGTCCTTCTTCTCTGCGGATTTGGAGTAAGGTTTGAAGCTGGATTTGTCGTCGGCTCCGATGTCGCTCATTTTCAGCGGCCCGGATTTGGTCTCCTTGTCACTAGATCCATTGGAGGTCACGGAGGACAGTTTGGAGGAGGACGGCGGGTCCGGTTTGCCGATCTGAGAGCACGTCTGGGCCAAAAGAGCCAGTGGACTTTTCTTGGCATCCAGCTGCAAAATAGGAAAAACACACTTAATACAAAAATCATGAAACACTTGTACAAATAACGTTGAGTGGTTAAAAACGCACATTTGGCCGTTCCGGTTTTGCGCATGAACTTATCTCAGGATGAAACTCAAAACTCAGACTAATAGGCACGAAGGGAAACATCGTGCACACACGCATACAAGATACGATTATAACTACCACAAGTACAAAACGACAAACATGGACAATCCATTTTCCACATAGATGTTATTGATATTTAAAGTGAGTCAAATTCCAGCTCATTATTTTAATGCTGAGAAAATAAAAACTGCAGAAATTGGAGAAGACCAAACTCCAAATATGGTCTGAAATTACATTAAGAGAGATTTCAGTTTATTCGTTTCCATATCGGGGGATTCGTCGCGTGATCTGAATAAAATCTGAACACAATTTATCCATAACATTCATCCAGCGACAGCTCCGGTGTCCAGTGGCGAAACGCAGCGAACTGGTGCCCGTGTGCGCAAAACGTTTTCACCGTGGTTCTTACCTCGATGGGACTGACCGGGGTGGAGGGTAAGGGCTGGAGGTATTCCGGGTGTAAAATGTGTCCTGCCCGAGCCGTGAGCATTTTCAAAACCTTGATGGGAAGACGGCTGGCTTGACGAGAAGGGTCTGCGGGAGAGACGGAGTTGTGTACGAACGGCCGGCTGATCTTCACTGCGCCCCTCTCTCCCGAGGAGCCGCTCTGCCAGGCTGGGTTGGTGCTATTTCTCAGGACAGAGATCGTGGGCGATGTGATCATGACCCAATTCTCGTAATAATGGTTGAGAGATGCATGTGTAGGGTAAAAGAGGCCAACACGGTAAAAAGACTTCCACGGAGAATGAAAGAACCAACGTTAAAATCCTCCAGAAGAAGACGAAGGGCGAGCGAGAGCAGAATCCGTGCGTATCGCAGCCGCAGTGTTTGTTCCCTGGCGTTGCTCTGACTGTGTGTGGCTGCGGGTCCGAGAGCGCACTCGGTTTACGTGGGTCGTGGACAGGAGGGATCACTCCGCCTCCTCGCCAGCAGCGTCTGAATTAGTCCGCGGATGACAGCCTCTTTGCCTCCTCCCAATCAAAAACACAGATCCCGAGGTGATGGTTGGAAGGAATGTGACGTTTCCTCCTCACACGGGTGTCTATTTCAGATCTCACCCTCTCCGAGCGCTTTTAATTCAGAGGTTGTTTTTTTTTATCTGCGTCCTTGCGTAATTGGCACTGTGACGCATGCGCCGCCCCGTGCGTCCTGTGTGGTTTTGGGGGAATAGTTGGGACAGAATGAAGATGACCAGAACGTCTTTATGTCAAGCGAGCAGCAGATACATTTTTAATTAAGCCAAACTCTTTCCAAAAAATAATTTACGATATTCTGCAAATTGGCACCCCTGCAGCACTTTACGCATCTCGCTCCAACATGAAGTAAGTGATTCTGAGCTCATTTTCATTTAGTTAAATGGACTGCAATCATGGAAACCACAGAGGCCTTGGGATGAATGTGCCTTCGCGCCTCAGAAGTGAATACAGCCCGACTCAAAAACAACCTTCTGAGGGCTTCTCTGGTCACAGACCCACCGATACCCATCGCCTTGTTTCCCATTTGCTGCAACTCCCTCCTCTCAATCACGCAGCCTGTCATCTGTCAGTTCCCTGTCCTGATCTGTCAGCTGTCTCCACATTCCCCCCCCCCCCCCACACTCTTCTCTCAGTCAGATTCAGGTCAACCACTGCAAAGTGAATCCAACGAGAAGTGGAGAGAAGAAGTGATGTGTCTCTCCCTCTCACTCCATCATCATTTAGGCCATTTCATAGTCTGCCTGCTCTGGTGAAACTCAAAACACACACAACTTGTTTTTAATTGAGAATAAGCAGGAATTGTTTTTAGCAGAGGCTTTCTCCTGCTATTCAGTGTCATGTCCAAGGGTCGTTTTGGTTTGTTTTGCAGATTAAAAACATTCGTCCAAGTTTCCTCCACATTCAAGCAAAGAAAAAAAACTTATTTTTTATTCCAAGAGCGCTTAAAACCCCTCTTGTGGCTGCCATTAATCATTAAAGCTTCCACGTTTCTTCCCATCGAAATAGACCCACTTATCTTATTACTCAATAGCCTATAAATGTCTTGCTGATCAGGCGAAAGTTAAACATATGCAAGTGTTTTTTGATTGATAACAGAGGTGCTGTTTTCGGCAAAGGCTGTCAGGCTCTGACACAGCGCTCTGAGTTATTAGGGCAGAGAAGGGCGACCATAAATTTCGACCGTCAGGCAAAAACTCCTTTATTGTGGACGTGATGGATGGCTCGCCGCGGCAGACACCAAATTCTCGGCTTCATCCTTAAATGGCTGCACATTTCTTTTTCTTTTTTTTTTACCTCTCGTCGCCGTAATTCATTACTTTTAAACAGAAAGCTTGAAAATTTCCCGAAAGTAATATGAATCGCCTGGACTCTGCAGTGAATACAAGCATTTAAAAGCAGGGCAGGGTAGCACAAGGTCTTTATATGTGATGATATAAAAACAAGAACATGTGTGGGCATTGTATTTAAAGAGGAGAAAGACTATATTTTTATAAAAAGCTTTCAATTATGTTTTCTTTTCTGAAAACTCCCTTAGAGCTCATGTTACCAGTCAACCCTTAAGCTTTTGAAAATAACAAATGAGAATAATCACAGTTAAGGTTCACTGAATAATTCTAGCACAATATATTCTGTCTGTAATTAAGCAAAATCTTTCATAACCTTTTCATCCCATACAAGTTATAGAAATTTTACTTTCTATACATAAAAATGTAAAAAAAAATGTGTTCATTAGACCCACTTTTATTACTGACCTTTAAAAACTCTCTTTTATTTTATTTATACAGAGTTGTACTGTTGCTGCTGAGTGTCCTTATCTCTACTCTTGTCCTTGGACAAAGAAAATACAGAATGATAAACAAAACCTACAGGTCAGCTGAAGCTCTGAATTGTTTTCAGAATCGCACAAAGGACAAAGTTATATTTTTGTTTCTAAAAGTTCTTTTCTCTGAATTTTTTCAGGGTCATATGAAATCTAAATGAGCCAGGTGAGATTATCTCCCTCCAGCAGGTTTTTAGTTTAACTTTGGGTCTTGTGGTGTTTTGTACTGTGGTGCTCAACAGAAACAACTCATACGACAACTTCACTGTTTCTCCTTGGAGTTGATTGAAAATTAATCATTGAATAACAATGGCAGTCAAAGTCGCAGTGAAAGCAGCCGCTCTATACTGCAGACTTGTATGTTGCTTATTATATAATGTATAATTGTAGCATGGTTGTATTTCAAAATTTATGCTCCCTTATTAGACACTTTGACCTCATGAGAGAGTGTAAAAGTGATATTATTGTGAAATCTGCTTTTCTTCACCAGGCACGTTGGACGTTGCAGGAAGATCTATCCAAGCAGCATTTTTATTCTGCTCTCTTTAGACACATGTACATTCAAAACCACCACAGAGAACCTGTAACTGAAACCATTTGAAAATCAACCAAAAAAAACCTCAGGTGCAGGAGCCCTTGACATATAGCTTTCAGAAAGGATATGGTCGATAAATGCGACATTATAATGTCGAGCAAATGGAATAAGAAATTCCCTCGACATGACATGAAAATTCACCTTGTGGCAGCCGGCGCGGGGCGCGCCACGTCAGCAGCCAGACAGGCCGACTGGAGCTGACAGGTAAAAAGGGGAGATGATGGTTGGAAGGTGCTATTGTTTCATGCCTCTCTCTTGACCTGTCAGGTCTGGGCACAGAGGCCTGGATCGAGGACCTCCTTGACACATGAAAACAGTTTTAAAAGGCCGTTATCCAGACTATGGTGATTGCTCCTGTTTAATTGATTTGCTCTGCACTGAGGCCTGTCACATTAATAATGGTTAAGTACAGTCCCAGCGTGTCCCACAGAGTGGTGCGTCTATCGGGAAATGAACAGCCATAACTAACTGCTGTGTGTGAAGCCAGAACAGCAGTTTCATTCTTGGGCTGAAACTATGATATTTATAATATAACTGCTCTCTGTTGAAGTACAGCAGCTGTACATTTTCTTCTTTTTTCCCTCTATAGGGTTCAGACCACTTCCCCTTTCATGGCCTCAGACTTTCGGACCACGCTGTATATTTTAAAAGCCTGTCACAGATTCACCTCTTCATTTAAATGGCTCTATATGGCTGAAGTAAATCTCCTTCTCATTATGAACTATACCATCCAGAGTAAAACAGAGCTACACTGACAAGTAAATGGCGTTGAGTGAATAAGACTCCGATTACGCTCTCCACCACTTCACAGGAGCCTTTGACAGGCTGCAGTAGACATTAAGTCGCTGATATTTCCATGACTGACTGACAGTCTGAAATTGCTCCCATCACCTTGATAGCATGGTAATGCACCTTGCATGTGGACTGTCTTTAAAGTGCAGGAAATTAGACTCCAAGTTGAGAGTTGCCTTTCAAGCAAATATGACAAGAAAATAGACTGCTTTTCTTCTGCGCCCGGAGAAGGAAAAAAGGCCCCACAGCAGCTGGCATAAAATAAGAGGTTATAGGAGAACGTGTCAGGAAGTATTACATATATTGTGTGTTTAAGACAGGACATTTCAGATACTTAGAAGTCATACTCATTCCTCTCGACTACACCCGTGATATTTTACCCCCCACCCCAGCCGCCATCTGTGTCAAATACTGTGGCGTTGACTTCATTTGCAAGAGCTCAACTCGGAGCTGACACCGGGAACTTACACTATCTCGCCGGAAGTCAGACGACAGGAGCGCAGCATGACAGAGGGAGTTAGAAGAGTTGAGGTGCAGCCAAGATCACGGTGGTGAAGGGTCTTTTTCACTGTGTCTCCTCAATTACTTAAAGCTGGTCAGGAGTAGGAAGCAAAGCCTATGGAGATTATATGCTGTCGTCCACTTGCCATCAGGTAAGTGAGGATCCTGGCGGGGCTGTAGTCATGCTGTAGAGAGGAGTTAACTTCACCTACACTCACGTTGGAACCGGTGGCTCAATTCATCCTGACAGCTGTCATATTACAGGGTGAGAACTTTGTGGAAACTTCAAGAAGCTCCTGTAAGACCCACTGTGCTGTAACGAGAAGGAGTGTGCATCATCATGACGTCTCTCGTGTGACTTGAGTCTTTTCACTTCGCGATTATTTACATTATTTATAAATCTGTTCATCATTTCGTTTATTAATTGAATAGTTGTTTGGGCTTTTGTTTCAAACTTAACAATATTTAGTTTATGAGGATATGAAACAGCAAATCCTCTTATTTGAGAAGCTGACAGATGCAGTTTTGCACTTTTCTGCTTGAGCAAAGTGGCTGCTGATTAATTTCCACTAATCGATTGATCAACTAATCGTTTTAACCCTCTCACTTGCTTGATTTCTGCATTTGTTTTTCAGTGTAGATGCAACATCCTCCACATCTGTACACATGCAGCTCTGGATGCTGAGCCCTCACATTTACTCATCTAGATTTAATTTATGGAGCCTAAGCCGGGGTGAAAATGTACAGGTAGCGTGTTATGACACTGGAGGCACTGTGCAGGTCGGGATGAATGTCTGTGATGGGCAGATTATTCAGACTAAAGTAGGCCTAAAGAATGATCTTGTCACATTTCACAGGCAGGATTAGGGCTACGCAGGAGGAGCGCTTCAGTCAGGAATTAGCGTCATGTGGTCGGCTGGAGACAAGCATGCAAGGTATTCGGCGAGACAGGCTTGGACACTTACTGCTCCATTTGTCTACTTAGTGATCAAATACAGCGGCTGATGGTTATTTCGCTGTCGTTAGTGGTTTATGTGATACGCATTCATCTCCAAGTTGTGAAATTGTGTGAATTTCAGCGATCGGAACACCCTGTGGACATCCGGAACCAGGTTCATTTAGCTTCTTTTTTCACCCATATATTTCATGCCATCATACACATAAATGTACAATCAGATACAACACGTGACACATGACGTGTAGCCCACAGCAGCACCTGCTATATTTGTGGCTTTGCATTTTAAATGGACGGGAGTGTGAGTGTCTTCAGGCTATCAGAATGAGCTATTACCGTGATGATTGAAGAGTGAGGGAAGAAGTGAGCTAAAAGACAAAGTAGAAGAGGCCTGACAAATGAAATCAAACTTCATAAGACCTGCCAGTGGTGTCAGTTGTTATCCATATCTCAAGTGCATTATGGCACTGCAACCCAGCATACTGCCTTCTCATCTGTCGGCTCACATTCATCACATTCTCGACTGTTTCTTTTAAGTCACAAGTGTCAGTGTGAAGTGGAGTCTTAATTGACATGTGAGTGGCACGGACGTGGACCGCTGCCTTTATTTTGGTGCCAAGAAGGGTTGTGTTGTTTTGATGAGCTATTATTGGCAGAAGCCAGTAGCAGATAGCAGTCGGCCTGGAAATGGGAAGTGACATCAGACAGAGAGGAGCTTGTCATTGTCTTCAGGCGAGTTCAATCTCGCTGTAAGTTAGGAACAGCCTGTTGAAACGTCACTCAAAAGACTTTCTTATCTTTTGAGGGGAGACGTTTGGGTTGATTTGGTGAAATCATTTAGACGTTTGGCATCCATTTTTTAACAGCTAACACAGGTTGGCGTGGTTTCAAGGAGATGACTTCGGCTAAATTAGACTTATTATGTCGAGCACAGAAAGCTGTCACGAGCTCCAGTCTTCACATGCTGTACATTTGAGGTCTGTAACCCAGATTTGCGACAGTGTTTCTCAGCACTGTAAGACTTATTTTCTATCAGAGGGTTAAAGGGACATAATTAAATGCGTATCATATTTGCTCTTTACCTGGTATAAAGTCATGCACATAGTTTGTATATGAACTCTATATGCTAAGGTTTTAAAGATCACGTCAATGGAAATCTACTGTATTCACAATCGGGCCTGTGAACTTTCCTGGGTAACTAGGACATTGTTTCTAGAAAGAGATGTTACTGCTGAATTTTTAAATTTATTTTATATTCATACATGAAACACGGCTCTAGGGATGTTGATACTGATTATGTCTGTTGATGGATGAGTCCATAGGTCCACCATTTTGGACCAGATAGAAATATCTCAACAACGTTGATGACGATGTTTCCTCTTGCACTTGATGTCCATATTTGTGGTTCCAATCACCCTCAGCCATACTGTATGTTTAGTGCTACTAGCAAATGCTAGCATTTGACAAAGGTTGAGTCAAAATAAGGTGTCTGTTTGATGGAGGATTTCCTGATTTTGAAGGAGCCTTAGCATGTTTAGCCTTGGCATTGTTGTGAGCATGGTAGCATGTTGAATTCGCCTCCTTTGTGCTGGGGTGGAGACGGGTGTCTTAAAACATGAAAAATAAAATGCATGGCTAGATCCCATCAGACCTGTGAGTGGGTGAGAAAACTGTTTGTGTGAATGAGGCCAATTTTCACTTAAACATGATTTGAGGACCAGACTGCACTCCACTATAATAACCAATGTAAACTGTTGATACTATCACCAACACTCTGAGCACATCAGGCATTTATAACCAGCTCAAAGTAAATCAATGAGGCGTCTGTAACACGGAGCTCAATACAAACACTTCATAATCACAATGTTCTCCTCTAATATTCACTCAGCTGGAGTACAGTGTAAATAAACAGCTCTCAGCGTAGTGCATCTTTCTCCACATTGATCACGACCACAAGACCCCAGGCAACAATGCACAAAAGAAAAATGGCTTCCTGACTTTCACTCATCCGAGGCTCTGTGCGGCCCCTTAATAGGCAGAATCAGAATGTCTGCTGCGGTGTTGCAGGCTTTATGAGACCATTACCGCTTTTTATTGTGTATCCCTGGACTAATGGCTTTCTATAGTTGCCCTGATTTACGGCCTGTCGGCTTTGTGGCTGTCCATTAGAACGGGAGGTTGACATCAAGCCAGTGGCTGAAGTGCCCACTGTTAAAAATGAGGAAGTCACATCTTACACATAGACGCCCGGCCCCTGAAACCTCTGTTCCAAAACATATTGATGACTGCTTGTTTTCCAGCCTGTTTTTGTCCCTTCATAGGTTCCTCTTGTTTTTCACAAGTGTTTGTATTAAGTAATTGACTCTAGACAAACACTGCGTGCGCTGCTGTTGAGTGACACATAAATGACACATGAAAAAAAATAAGTCTGTCAAACCCATTAACACTAATGTTGGAAATCAGCCGCATGTAACTGTGTTTTTTTTAATGGGTGCTTTATTATGGTGCGTCAACTGTGGCCCCAGCACTTAAACACATCATTAAATATTAGTTTGTCATTAGGGTTTTATTTTAAGCCTTGATATTTTTTTGTAAGGTGTTAATGGAATAGGTGTTTTAGCAACATGAGTCACTCACACATACAGTAGATGAGGTTTACTGGTGCTTACATCAGTCTATCTGGCAAACACCATTGCTTTTTTTTTTTTTTCTTTTACCATAAAGGTTAATTCTACTGTGTCTTTTTTGCAGGTCCTATCAATAACAGTGGTGTACTCTGTAAACATGGGCGCATTGATAAAAATAATTCAA